TGATAATAGCCTTTCTGACAGGTATGAGATAATATCCCATTGTTTTTGACTTGCATTTCCCTGATTAGTGGTGTTGAACACCTTTTCATGTACCTGTTGGCCATCTGTCATTGGAAAAATGTTCAGATTCTCTGCCCTTTTTGGATTTTTTTTTAAACTATTCAGCTGTATGAGTTTTTAATATATTTTGAATATTAATCCCTTCTCAGGTAGGTTGCCTTTTCATTTTGTTAACTTCCTTTGCTGTGCATAAGCTTTTTGGTTTGATGTAGTCCCACTTGTTTTGTTTTGCTTTTGTTGACTTTGTTTTTGGTGTCAAAACCAAAAATCATCACCAAGACCAATGTCAAGGAGCTTACCACTTGTATTTTCTTCTAGGTGTTTATGGTTTCCAGTCTTACATGCAAGTTTTTAATCCACTTGTGTTGATTTCTGTGTAAGGTGTAAGATAGTGGTACAGTTTGTCTTTTGCATGTGGCTGTCCAGTTTTCCCAACACCATTTATTAAAGAGACTATTCTTGACTATGAGGGTCTTGTCAAAAGAACTTAAGAGCCAATAGGAAGAGTTTCCACAGGCCAAAAATAGAACAATTTGAGCATCATTAAGAACTACAATGAACTGAAACACAGAAGTTAAAAAAATCTATGAGCTCAACTGGGTGTTGTATGGAAACCAAATTGACAATAAATTATATTAAAACACGCATGCGCGCGCGCGCACACACACACACACACACACACACACACACACACACATCTATGAGCTCACACTGGGTGCCTGGGTGTCTCAGTCGATTGAGCATCTGTCTCGGTTTTGGCTCAGGTCAAGATCTCACGATTTCATGAGTTTGAGCCCTGCACTGGGCTCTGTGCTGAGCGTGCTGAGCCTGCTTGGGATTCTCTCTCTTCCCCTCCCCCACTCACACTGTCTCTCTCTCAATAAATAAAAAAAATATTAAAAATCTGTGAGCTCACAGTGACCCCTAAGAAACCTCATTGGTTTAACCTTTGATTAATATTACAAAACCAACTCATTATAAAAGCAGTACATGAAGAATCCTTTTCTGTATGAACTGTACCTCAGGGTAACTAGGTACTTATGAGGGGAAGTTTTTCTCTACAGAGGTATTCCAAGTAAAAAGTGAAGAAAGACAAGTATTAATGAAATTAGAGATGTAGGCAATGATCATTAGCGGCTGCTAACATCACAAATGAGCCAAGTAGAATTATGTACCATCGGATGGATGTATATACCAACTGCTCTCATCAAGAAACTGAACTTGGGGGCATCTGGGTGGCTCAGTTAAGCATCCGATTCTTGATTTCAGCTCATCACAATCTCATGGTTTGTGAGTTTGATCCCCATGTCGGGCTCTGCTGTAGACAGTGCAGGGCCTGTTTGGGATTCTCTCTGCCCATCCCCTTCTTGTGCATGCCCAAGTGCTCACTCTCTCAACCCTTTTTTTTTTTTTATTTTAGAGTGAGAGAGCTGGGGAGGGGCATAGAGGGGGACAGAGTATTCAAAGTGGGCTCCACGATGATAGCAAGACCATGATCTGAGCTTAAGTTAAATGTTGAACCCACAGAGCCACCCAGTTGCCCCAAATAAAGTGTTTTTAAGTAAAATCTTAAAAACAAGTGGGAAAATTTGGACATCTGTTTGCTATTAAGGAAATGCTCACTTTTAAAAAAAGTTTGTTTGAGAGAGAATATGCAGGGGGAGGGGCATATTCAGATGTTTAACCGACTGAGGCACCCCAGGAGTTGCCCTTTTTTATGTGATCATGATACTGTTATATACTGCAAAATAATCCTTTTAGAAAACATTGAAATGTTAGAGTAAAATTCTTAGTGAAACCATCAGTGGGAAAGGCTTCATGGAGAGGGTAAATCAAGGATGTTTGAGAAATACAAAGGCATAATATGCACTGGCAAATAGCAAGGTAGACAGGGACCAGGAGGGTAGGACTTGAATTTAAGCTACACCAGGAAGGTAGAGGCAGTTGCCATTTAGGAAAGCGATCTTTCTTAATCCTTTTTTGGCCAGATTCCTTCAAAAAATTAGTAAATAAATGGACTTTTTTTTTCCAGAAAAATTAATAGTCGTGCATTTTATGTTTTATGGACCTCCTGAAATTGCTCATGTGGACTCCCCACTCCCCTATTGTTCCAAATTCCCACCCTCTGGGACAGGTGCTCTAAGAACCTAAGAGCCTGTGATTTAGATGGAACTTTAAAATTTTTTTAAGTAGGCTCCACATGCAGCATGGGGCTTGAATTCAAGACCCTGAGATTGAGCGTCCCATGCTTCACCATTGAGCCAACCAGATGCCCTTGGGCGTTGCTTGTTTCCTGATCTCAGAGTTGAAGTTCTTAATTATTGAATGTTGGTTCAACTGCAATGTTCTTTTTAGGGTCAAGATTTCGGTTTCCTGACCTGCTGCAGCAGAAATGGGTTGGTGATTGTGCTTTGTATTAGGCTTAACCATTTCAAATTGCTGATACTCAACTGTTGCTGACCAACTGAAATGGCTTTCAGTGGTTCTTTCTGGGATTGCTAAATTACCTTCATGCTGTACACAGATTAAGAAATGTAGGTCACCCTATAGTTTCTTCTTTCTGAAGTTTTCACCCATTTTACCATCCTGATAACTAGAGGACAAAAAAGAAATACAGCCCTTATATGGAGTCAGTTGAAGTGCCTGTGAAACAGTGAAGTGCCTTTGCCTGAATCAGCGTATTTCCAAGGTCTAGGCTGTCTCTTCACCTCTGATCTTCTCATATACCATCTAGAAGAATTTGCTTTTATCTTTCTTGCTATGTAATCTCTAGGTTATATCTAAAATTAGGGCACCTGGGTGGCTTGGTCGGTTAAGTGTCGGACTTCGGCTCAGGTCACGATCTCACGGTCCGTGAGTTCAAGCCCCGCATCAGGCTCTGTGCTGACAGCTCAGAGCCTGGAGCCTGTTTCAGGTTCTGTGTCTCCCTCTCTCTCTGCCCCTCCCCTGTTCATGCTGTCTCAAAAATAAATAAACGTTTAAAAAAAAAAATTAAAAAAAAAAATAAAGCCACATCCATAAATTACTTACTGAAAGTGTCTTCATAATGAAGTGTGGAGCACAGCATCTTAGTCTCCCTGGTAATTGATGCATTAATAGACCTAACACATGTGTGGCCTTTCTTTCTACCAGAAATATGTACAGGACTCAAGGAAATCATCAGGTGAATCCAAAGGCTATTCTGTAAATGAAATGGCCAATACTCTTCAAAAAAGGCAGTGTCCTAAAAAGATATGGCAAAGGAACTATTCCTAGCTAAAATGAAATGTAACCCCTGACGAATGCCACATGTGATTTTTGACTGCTGACAACTCCGGGAAATCACCAAAATGGCAAAGATGTGATTTTAAGTTGGGAAAACTACTTAGAAGAATCCAACTAGTAAATTATACTAAGTGGTAGAAGTGGAGAAGGTGGTTCTGGATGTACTTTGATGGTCATTAAAATATGACTTTTTTAGATTAGGCAAGAAGCACATTAGGATAATTAAGAAGCACATTTAAGATAATTGGTAAGATCCCTTAGGAAGGGAAACCACAAGTTTCTTTTGGAACCTATCAAGCAGTTGTCACCACAAAAGGGAGACTATTTGCAAAATAAAAAACCTTTTGTCTTTGAAGGTTGTTTGCACCATCAGTTTTACTGGTAGGAATTGAAATACTGCTCTAGGTGTTCAATATACAAGGGGTAGCTGAGGCAGTGTCTTTTCAAGCACTGCTTTAACCTGATGCCAAGGATAAATCTTTAATAAAAAGCAACTAGTTCTTAAGCGGTGCTTTAGAAGTCCTTGAGGGGCTTAGTATCACAATGATTTGGAGACTCCAGAAGCATTCAGTGGGCAAGGGCTGACAAAGGTGCTAAGTATCTTCCAATATGCCATAAAACAATCCTTCACAAAGAATTAATATAATCCCATAAGGTTCCCAAGTATTCATGTAGCTGAAAACTTGAGCCTAGAATTTATTTTTCAAATGAATCCCCAGAAGTGTTTACATGGGTGTTAGGAACACTTAATTTTCCAGGAATGTAGTGGTTGTATAAACAATCTACATTAGAACATCATATTGACTTAAGTATACACGAATTTCACTTCTAGATAATCACAAAATAAAAGGAGGTATTACACCTAATGAGGTCTAAGCCCATGTTCTTGACTGACATTCCTTTGGGCATGGTAGAGGGCAGTAATACATGAAAGGAGGGGGGAGTCTGCTGGAAGACCACTGGTTAGAAAATGAATCTTAACACTAATCAGTTCCTGATGTTATCAAACCACTGAAATCCTAGGGCTTACTCTTGGACATGCTTCTTGCAACCTGAAAATAGTAGCCCTAGTTTCGATGCTAGACAAAAAGATTGTTGAATGGCTTTAGGTCAGGGAATTGGGAAATACGATTCATGTCCTTTTCCTGAAGCTAAATCTCAGAACCTCACTTCTCATAAATAAGAGATCAAGATGCTTTTCATTTATTTTTAAAAATCCGTACTGGACCAAAAAAGCAATCCAGGATACAGGTGCCAGACACAGGCCAGAAGGTAGCTAGAAAAGTATGCCTTAGTAAAGTTAGGGAGCCCTATTACTACCTTTTTTAAAGCTGCACCTAACATCTATTTTCCCATTGATCTACCTTCTCCTACCCTACCTCCCAACATGGCACAGCTGGCTTGCCTTGCAAGGCCTCAGTTGAAGAATCCCTCATACACATAGGCTGGTTTAGCAGTTTCAACTGACTGGAAGGATCTCATCCCCATATGGTCTGAGAGGGCATTCCAGGTTTATGGGTAAGTACCTTCTTTATTGAGATGGTTTCACCTCTTGAAAATATGGCTACTAAAGCACAAAACAACAGTGTTTTTATAATGATCAGTAAATCATCTTCCCCTCCCTTGACATGCAGTTGAAAATTAACTAGGGACAGAGTACTGTGAACTTTGTATGGTTGGAATTCTCATTAAATGATCATTAGCTAATGGTTGCTGAATTTACATATTAAGGAAATTATATATAGAATACTGCAAAAACACAGTAAAAGACTGAAATTTGCCCATTTCTGCTCAGGAAGTTTCTTCACTCCCAAGCGTCATAATTTGACTCCAAAGTTTATTGGTATTACTGTTTCTCCTCCTTTTGATCTTCCTTTTGTTCCCCAGTGCCAGAACTTCCAGAGCCTTCTCGCTCAGATGCCATCTGTTAAGAAAATATTGGAGAGCAACTCATTTAAAGTGGACAGTTTGCTCTTTGATTAAAAAAGGGGGCATATCCTGCCTATTCTACTCTCCCTCCCTTCTTGTACTCTATTGATGGTTTCTGTGAGTCCCTCCCTTTGACTGCCATCACCGCCCCCGCCCAAAGCAGAGTCAAGAAAGCCAGAGTATTTCCAACTCCAATACTCCCAGTTCTATAAACGGCCATGTAGAGTGCCACCAGTGACAGTAATTAACAGCAGTTCTATTAAGATGAAGTTAGGCACAAATTCACTCAACAAAATGTCCTTTTACCTTTTTGTATGCCATTTCGAAAAGCTTCAGTGATGCTTGCTGAAGGGAAGATGCTGCCTGCCTTATGTTTTCTCCCGTTTCACTGTCTTTTCGAGCCAGAAGTTCCCTCATTTTGGAAATCTCTTCTTTTAGCTTGTTGCACTTAAAAACAAAACCAAACTCTTTCTCTGGGTTTCTTATCCCATTTTATGTAGAGTAATACTCAGAAACATTAAAAAACAAATTTCTATCCTTGACAGAACTCCTCTTTAAAAATGTATCTCAATTTCCTTATTTATCAAATGGCCCCAACTGAAGTCTGTGTGAAAAATATGAATAAAAAGCCTGAAAAACAAAAATACTACTAGATTCCTATCAAGATTCACACAGAAAAACAAACTTCATTGACACTAGTGATAATGCCTAACTTCTTGAACTATTTTAAGAGAGGACTCACTTCATCAGCAGGCAACTGGTCCTTGAATTCTTCCATTTTTGTTTCTGTGTCATGAATGATTCCTTCAGCCATATTAACTGCTTCAACTCGTTCCTAGGAGAAATTATAAATTTAGTATGAAGACTTCCCAACCAACCAATTAGAATATGGATACATAATTACAGAATAAAGACAAATTACTGTGGTCTGAAGTAGTCTAGGATGTCTGTTAAGTGATTTTATCTTATTGTATAACACAAAAATTTTGATGTGGAAATGAGAGTAAGAAAAGCATTCCACACAAAAGTTACGAACAAAAAGAGAGCAAGGACAGATTCAAATACAGACTAGAAAATCAACAATACATGTCCAAACTCCCACTTTCACCTCCCAGTTGCAGAGGCAGAAAATAGTTACCTTCTTTCGTCGGTCTTCCTCAGCATACTTTTCTGCATTTTTAACCATATTTTCAATATCATCTTTGCTTAACCCACCGGAAGACTGGATCACAACTAGAATGAAATAAAAGCATCTTGTTACTTCCCAGATAAAATTATCTGCCTCTTTCTCTGTATTAAGAAAAAGAACACTCCAGGGGCACCTAATGGTTCAGCTGGTTAAGCATCCGACTCTTGATTTCCGATCAGGTCTTAATGGAACAATTCATGACCTCGAGCCCCATGTGAGGCTCTGCACATTGGAGCTTGCACTCTCCCTCTCTCAAATAAACTCAAAAAACAACAACAAAACCCCACCAAAACTTAAAAAAAAATTCCTGTTCAGAGTAGCCAATCTTGATGTATGATGATGAAGTATTATGTATATATATTATGAATAAGAGAAATACCGTTGTCCTATAACAAACAGAAGGAAACCAAGGATCTGAAATCCACAAAGACCATTTGTTCTGCCTGCCTACCAAAACTTCAGCAATCCAGAAGCCCAGTGCTTGCCCATTTGTGGTAATAAATACATCTGTTAATGTGAATCTGATGACCAAGGAGAAAAGGGGCAAAAAGGACTCATTGCCTCCCCCAATCCCCCCGAGGCTGGGGGAAAACACACGCACAATCTAGAAGCTCTAGTTCTCAGAGGAACTTCAAGGTCCCTTGTCTCTTAGAGTCTGATAAATAAGAACACTTACTCTGCTGCTCACGTCCTGTGCCCTTATCTTTGGCTGAAACATGTACAATCCCATTGGCATCAATGTCAAATGTAACTTCAATCTGAGGGACTCCACGAGGGGCTGGGGGAATTCCAATCTAAAATAGAGAAATATGCAGCATTAAGTTCCTCTCACAAGAGGTCCAGTGCCCTATTTCCAAACCTATATATACAGTCTCTGGGTAAAGTAACTTGTTCCTGGGAGCAACAAACAATACTTAAAATGTATAAAAACACACATTTATAAATAAGAATAGTAGTTTCATTACTACCTGAAAGAACCAGGGCTTAAGCCAGTGAAGCTGGCTACAGCAAGTAACCATAATGACCGTGTATACCTAAGGGACACGCTGAATGAGAGGAAAACTGTCCATCATTGTTCACTAAGAACCAATAAACAATGCTCACTAGGAGCCAATATCAAATGCCTTAAATTAATAATTGGGGAATTCTTCCTAACTAACATTCTATTTCCATAGCTCTCATATTTATCAACTTCCTAAGTCATCAGGAACAAGCAAAACGTTCAGGAAAAACTGAAGCCATGGGTATCCAGTTGCAAAATTCATCTGTACACTGAACTAAGGTAACACAGACGAGGTCCCTGTGTTTTAGTTTTGGTAATGTTATTAAGAATTATAATTTAGGGGCGCCTGGGTGGCGCAGTCGGTTAAGCGTCCGACTTCAGCCAGGTCACGATCTCATGGTCCGTGAGTTCGAGCCCCGCGTCAGGCTCTGGGCTGATGGCTCAGAGCCTGGAGCCTGTTTCCGATTCTGTGTCTCCCTCTCTCTCTGCCCCTCCCCTGTTCATGCTCTGTCTCTCTCTGTCCCAAAAATAAATAAACGTTGAAAAAAAAAATTAAAAAAAAATTATAATTTAGTCCAAGTTTATAGAAAAAGCAAAGTACTCAGGATTCCTGATACCTACCAAAGTAAACTGTCCAAGAAGTTTGTTGTCTCCAGCCATCTCTCTCTCACCCTGACACACTTTAATCTCCACTTGAGTCTGACCATCAGCAGCTGTAGAAAACACCTAAGAGAGAAAAAAAACTCTGGGTTGGCAGTCTGTTTAGGCTACTCCCCTTAGAAAAGTGCAAGCCAAAGAAAGAAATTCCCATCTCAACACTTAAGAATCCCATGTTCAGAACAAAGGCTTTTGTTTTTGCAGGAGAATAGGATTAGTACAGCCAAAGGGTATACAGTAGCTATTGTTTTAGCTAAGCAAATGCACTAAACAAAGATGCAGCATTAGCAAAGTCGTCCTCAAAAGGAGCTAAAGAAAATGAGATGTTGAAACATGCTCATTTGAGGAAACAGGTCAGAGACATGACAAGTATTTTATGCTCAGTCACAGGAAGTCACCACATAGTTTTCTTCAGAATGATGTATTGGCAATACATCACTGAACAAATAGCAACAGCCATTAGCTATAACAGCTTTTCAGAAAAACAAATTGGGAAAGTCAGTAAACAATTCTGAATCTAAGACTAAGCAAGCCATTGTCCAGATAGCCCTGGCTTGGTATCTCAGCATCTCCATCATTCACCCATAAGACAAGCACCCTCCCCTAATCTTGGCCAGGCCATTCTTTTTATTGCCTTTGAGAACAGAAGAAAACAAGGAAATTAGTCCCAAACGATGAAGCTCCTTTTGGAAAGTTATTTTAATACGGTGAAGGACACCACTGATACCTTCCCTAAAATTACTGCTAGCTGACAGGTAAGGAGAACATATTCAGGAACCAACAAAAAAAGAGAACAAAAAGCAAGATTCTTAGCACCCACATTCACCTAGTATGGACTCAAAAACAAAAAGCAAAATGTCCTAGGAAAAACTAAAAAAAGTGGGTATAATCATGTCCCTCACAGAACCTATATTCTCTGTGACAACGGAGGGGTAGATGACTCTTACCTGGCTTTTCTTGGTTGGAATAGTGGTGTTTCTGTTGATAAGTTTGGTAAAAACACCTCCCAGAGTCTCAATACCCAGAGACAGGGGAGTGACATCCAGGAGCAGCACATCTGTGACATCACCAGCTAACACACCTCCCTGAATGGCAGCTCCAATGGCCACAGCCTCATCAGGATTGACTGCTTTGCTTGGGGCTCGGCCAAAGAGATCTTGTACAGTCTGCTGAACCTAAGCCACCAAGAAAAAAGAACCCGTCACCCACTACCAAGGGCAGCTACCCTTGGGAGGGTAAAAGAGCACATGTGTCCCAAGACCACAACAAATCTCAGGATAAGCTGCTTCAGATCCAAGAATGTTCACTCATGTTACTATTTCATATTTGAGTTCTTCTTAATGACCTCAGTGTGTCAAATACGGGCAACACTCATATCCTTTACTTGAGCATCAGTCATAGCCCTTTTAAAAAATTTTTTATTTATTTTTAGACAGCTTGACCAGGGTAGAGGAGCAGAGAGAGAATCTCAAGCAGGCTCCATGCTCAGCGTGGAGTATGAGGCGGGGCTCAATCCCACGACACTGGGATCATAACCTGAGCTGTAATCAAGAGTCAGACGCAAAACGGACTGAGCCACCCACGCGTCCCATTTAGTCCTTTTAAATTTGAGAAGGAGCTGCGTGACTTTTATACTGGGTTTCCTATACGACATATTAAATTAGAAATACAGGCTGCAAGACATCAAGACTTAGATATAGTTCAATTCCCCTTCTACAGATCAACTAAAAACCACCTTAAAAGAGCAGTACTAATTCAATAATTCTACATTGTTGCTAATGTGAGGCATGTTCTTCTCTCCAGCTTATTTTACTAATGTTAGAAAAAAGTGCTACTTAAACAGCATCTGGGGTAATTTGTTAACATAAAGATATTTTCCTGGTCCAAAGCCTCCATTTTTTTCTCCATGTTTACTCTGTGCAGATTTTCCTAAGCCCATGAACTCCAAAGGAAATTACTATTCTATTCAAGCTATACAGCAAAAATGACACCTTCAACAGGTTGTGCTCAGTCATTAGTTTTCCACACACCTATCTTATCAGAATGATGTGTTGATAAATAATATGCATCACTGCACAAATCTCTGTTGAGGTGATGCAGTTAGAAACCCAAAATATTATGCTGTAAACACATGTATCCAAAACTGCATGTAGAGACTAGATAGTACCAAGGTTTTAAGCTATCTCTGATCTCCAACTTTGAGAAATACTTGGTTTATAAAAATATCCCAAGAATGAAGTTCAGGATCTTCCATGCTACCACCCAAAGACATTTTGCCCTTCCTGATCCTTTTTCTGAAACCCTTTTAAAAAGAGGCCACAAAAGACCTCTAGTGACGGCATAAATTGCGTTCAAAGATCCCTTCAGGTCACTGTGGCAGAAAGGCCATGTACTCATGTTCCTACACAAATCATCTATCCAGAGAAAACATTATGTGCTTGCTCTCTCTGCTTTCCATGCCAAGGATTCCATGGGTCCATACCTTGGGCATCCTAGTCATGCCACCAACAAGAATCACTTCTCCTATGTCACTCTTGCTGACTTCTGCATCTTGCATGGCTTTTTGACATGGGGCAATTGTCCTCTTGATTAGATCTGTAACAATCCCTTCAAATTGAGCCCGGGTCAGCTTCATATTCAAATGCTTGGGTCCAGAAGCATCCATCGTAAGATATGGCAAATTGATGTCGGTCTGCAAAGGTAGCAGGGAAAGCAATACTGGTGACGTTTCTTTATTACTTCAATTAAAATAAGACCATACCCTCATGAGGAAGACTTTGAAAGCTATAGAGAGAGTAGACCCACTCTGAAGGAACAGCCACAAACACAATGACTCTTTAAGATTCAACTCCTGCTCAGGTCATGATCTCAGAGTTCAGGAGGTCAAGCCCTGCGCCTGATTCTGTGCCTGGGATTCTCTCACTGCCCCTTGCTCATTTATACCACCCCTCCTCTTCAAAATTAAAAAGATTCACCTATGATCTTCCCAGAGGCAAAAATTTTAGAATCTGTTATGAACAATGAAGAATGAAATAGTGGGACACCTCAATGGCTGAGTCGGTTAAGTATCTATGACCCTTAACTTTGGCTAAGGTCATAATCTCACAGTTTGTGGGTTCGAGCCCCATGCTGGCCTCTGCACTGACAGTGTGGAGCCTGCTTGAGATTCTCTCTGACCCTCCCCTGCTCACGCTTTCTCTCACTCTCAAAATAAACTTAAAAATGTACACACACAAAAAGTAAGTCAAAAGCATGCTCTGAACCAAATAACTTGCCTCAAGCCAAGGCTTTCTAACTTTCAGGAAGATGGTAAGGAAGCTATAGAAATACTAAAGATACCTACACCAGGATTGACTTTACTGCCATCACATTCATGGAAAGCAGCAAACGCTGCTATAGCCATACCATAATAAAGGTATCCTAATAGGGCCTACATTCAGACTATTTAGACTAACCAAACTCCTCACTAAACATGCTGAAACATGTCTCAACGTGGACCCTCAGGAACAAAATTGTACCTCCCCTCCAATTTCACATCAAAGCAAGGCTGAAGCAAGGCTGGCAGGAAACAGACTGAAAGGGACCAAACCCATTACCATCTCTCATCAGGTAAACTACTTTTGGCATTTAAATGCTTAATAAATAGTGAACGAGTTAACACATCTTTTGTAGGAACAGTGCTGAGTATTGCTTTAATGAACACCATCCATCACTTCTCAGCCTTTTGGCTAAGATCAAGTGTAAAGAACACCACCGACGATTTCCTTCTTTCTTTGCAACGTTATTAATAAACTAAATCAAAAACAATTAAATTATCTAAAGTAATGCAATCCAGGGGGTGCCTGGATGGCTCAGTTGGTTAAGCATCTGACTTCAGCTCAGGTCATGGTCTCAGCGTTCATGAGTTCCAGCCCCACATCAGGTGAGCTAGAGCCCTGCTTCGGGATTCACTCTCTCTCTGCCCCTCACTCACTTGTGCTTTCTCAAAACAAAAAAAACAACGAAGCAAACTTTAAACCAATGAAATCCAACAGAACTTTCTGTGGCAATGGAAATGTTCTGGATTTGTGCTGTTCAATTCAGCAGCCACTAGCCACGTATGGCTCAGCATTTGAAATACAGGCAATACAACTGAGGAATGCAATTTTAAATTTTTATTTAATTGTAAAAGCCCACACACGGACATTGTATCAATGCAATTCTATATGCTATATGTTAATGACAATCTGAACAATTCCAGGACTCTCAATCCTCAAAACCCAGTCACTAAGCTTTGTCGCTTCTCAAATTCAACACTACCTCTATTTCACTCCAGTCCAAGTCCTTCCTCTCACCACCAACTGACCATGTGCTACAGCCTCCCAATGTTCTCCCACTTCCACTCAGGCTACCTCTGCTACAGGACCCCTCCTGACCCCAAACAAATTTCCACTCCACCTCTGCCAGAGCACTTTTCACAAACCCATATCTGGCCATGTTACTGCCCTTAATTTAGGTTTTCACTAGGGTGCCTGGGTGGCTCAGTAGGCAGATCATACGACTCTTGATCTTGGGGTTGTGGGTTTGAGCCCTACGTTGGGTGTAGGCAATACTTAAAAAAAAAAAAAAAAAAAAAAAGTTTTCACTGGTTTATATTCCCTCTTCTCAGAATAGACCCAGATCCCAAATCTATCAAGCCTCTACCCTCACGTTCTGCACTTACCCTGCCTATCTGCTCTTCGAACACACTAGCCTTTTCTCAGAGCCTCATACTTACTTGTCCTAGTATCTTTTCCTGATCCAACTCATCTCACCAAGCACTCCTTGTGAGGTCAAACACCTCTGTCAGCTTTCTCTTACAATTAGAAACCAAACTTTTGTTTTTTTACCACATTAGTAACTTACTATAGAATACTATTTATAACATGTCCTAAACATGTTTTAATTTAGTAATCCTCACAAATCAAAGAGAGAAACTGACACTATTATTCTCATTTTGTAGGTAAGAAAACAGAAATGTTAAATAATTTACCTACGGCCACAGATAGTAAGTGATGAAATAGGACTTGAATCCCAGCAGTCTGCCTAGGGAGCCACTCTTAACCTATCACATTACTTCTGGTTTGACTGTTGTTAATCTCATGTCCTAATTAATACCTATCTCTCCACACCACACTGTAAACCCACAGAGGTAATGCTTCTAGGAATTTATTCTGGAGATTTACAATTACACATGCACAAATATTAATATACAAGAATGCTGAACAAACTTTGTTGTAATATCAAAATGCTGGAAAACAATCCAAACTCTACCAGTAAGATACAGTCACAGTAAAAACCAACTTCACCCTCCACAAATTGTCAACTCCTGGGACGAATTTTAAGCTATCTTCTGGCATCCCATAGTTCAATTCTAATCCTAACCATTGTATGTTGCAAAGTTCTGCCACTCTGTATGACGGCAGGGATAAAGTAACACCATTAACACCATGGATAACTCTTGTATAACTCATCATAGCTACTTTAAAAAACATTTTTTTAAGGGGCACTCGAGTGGCTCAGTCAGTTGTGTCCAAATGTTGATTTTGGCTCAGGTCATGATCTTGTGGTTCTTGAGTATGAGCCTTTTATCGGGCTCTGCTCTGCAAGAAGCCTGCTTGGGATTCTCTCTCTGCCCCTCCCTTGCTTGCACTCTCTCAAAACAAATTGAAAGAAAAAAAATTTTTTTTAACGTTGAAAAAAAAAAAAAATCCAGGTTCAAAAGAAAAAAACCCAAAAAACAAAAACCAAGTTTTTCCACATTGGATCACTCAGTACGGGTGATCAAATCATCAACTCAAGGAGTGACATGCTCCGCTTTCCTGCTGCCACTTGAGAAACCAGAAACAAACTTGCCTTTCAACTTGTAAGTCTGTCCAAAAACTACCATGCTTCATATAGTTCTATTATTAATGCCTAAGGCAAAGTGAAGCTTCACCTCTCAGAACTGGAGCAACACAGCCTAACACTTATAAACAGATGCTGAGCAACTCTAATGCTAACAGAAAGAAATGTGCCCAAGTGTATATACCCCAGCCTTCAGCCAGGTTTCATAGCTCACTTTCTGGATTGCTGATCCAAATAATTAAATGAGACAATTAGAGACTCACACAAAGACATGTCTTAAGTGAAGACATTAGCAATTATGAGAGAAACCTATTATTTCTAGGCTAGTGATTCCCATTTTGCACACTACTAAATCTAGATTTTAAAATCAGAATCTTGGGGTGCCTGGGTGGCTCAGGTGGTTAAGCATCCGACTTCGGCTCAGGTAATTATCTCACAGTACATGAATTCAAGCCCTACAACAGGCTCTGCACTGACAGCTTGGAGCCTGGAGCCTGCTTCAGATTCTGTGTCTCCCTCTTTCTCTCTCTGCTCCTCCCATGCTTGTGTTCTGTGTTTCTCTCTCAAAAATCAATATGTCAAAAAAATTTTTTTTTAAATCAGTATCTTTAGGGGTACATGGGTAGTTCAGTAGGTTGAGTGTCCCACTTAGGCTTAGGTTGTATCTCATGGCTCATGGGTTCAAGCCCTGCATCTCATGGTTTTGAGATCAATCTCATGTCGAGCTCTGCACTGAGTGTGGAGCCTGCATGGGATTCTCTCTCTCCCCCTCCTGTGCTTGTGTACTAAGAATAAACTTCTAAGAAAAACCAAAACCAAAACCAAACAAAAATACACTGTTCCTTTGTTCATGGACAGGCTTTTACTGCCACCTAGAAAACTAGAAAAGATTAGATAGAAATTGCACCAAGAATATGCTATTCAAATAAACTAAGGCTGGAAACATTAAGACTGTTGGGACTCATCCACATCCCACCTGCACAGATGAGGAGAGTTCACACTTAGCCTTCTCAGCAGCTTCCCGAACCCTCTGAAGTGCCATGTTGTCTTTGGTCAAATCAACCCCCGTCTACAAAATGAAAACACGTAATACTAACGTTAATGAGGTGACGAATACTATTTAGATTACAACGATAAGGTATGATAATTTAAAGTAAAGCCCTGTCTTTATAAACAAACATGAATCACTCACTGCCCTTAAAAATCTGTAGGAAAAAGAAATCTTATTCTTCAAATTGTGTCTGGAGCCAGAGGGCTGATCTAATCTTAGTTCTTTCAAGCCATTGGGTTCTGGATCCAAAGAGGAGTGCCCAGAATTCCTCTTCCAATATTATACAGAGTACCATACCCTCTTCAACCTGTTGTGGATTCCCAAGCTAAAGCTACAACAACCAGAATGGTTCAGTCTACCCGTGAAACTGAAACACAATTCTTTCAGTGCTGTTCCATGTTCTATTAAGGGCAAAAAGTCATAAAGCAAATAGTCATCTGAATAAAGAAATTCTCACCATCCCAATGTCTACATATGAACTATACTGGTAACCAACCTCTCTCTTGAACTCCCTCACAATGTGTCGTAGCAAGGCCTGGTCAAAGTCTTCACCACCTAAGAACGTGTCTCCATTGGTAGACTTCACCTCAAACACTCCTTTCTGAATTTCCAGGATAGAAATATCAAAAGTTCCACCACCTAAATCATATACAGCAATTCTAGAAAGACAAAAGAGGTGGTCTTAAGGGAGAACACCTATCACTAGGGTATAAATTTCAACAACCAAAGGAACATAAACCTGATCATTTTCCCTGTGGTATAGTTAATTATAAAATTGGATAACTGCCTAAGTGACAGGTATATGAACATGTGGCACGAATAGCTAACTGTAAAATATAGAGTTGAAATACATTTTAAAACTGGGGTGCCTGGGTGGCTCGGTTAAGCATCCGACTTTGGCTCAAGTCATGATCTCAGGGTCTGTGAGTTCAAGCCCCGCGATGGACTCTGTGCTGACAGCTCAGAGCCTGGAGCCTGCTTCCGATTTTGTGTCTCCCTCTCTCTCTGTTCCTTCCCCGCTCCTGCACACTCTCAAAAAACATAAACATTAAAAAAATAAAGCAAAATTGACGATATTCAATCACTTTTTCCCTAAAGTAGGCTCCATGCCCAGTGTTGGGCTTAAACTCACACCCCCAAGATCAAGAGTCGCAGGCCCAACCAAATGGTCCAGCCAGACATTCCCAAAACCATACTTTTGAACAAATACTTGCCAATATGCATGCTAAGGGGGGAAAAATGATCACAGCCCAGTACTTCCATAGGTGAAGTCCCACAAACCTAGGTGGAGTTTACTGCACAAACTCACATTTTATCTTCTGATTTGTCTAGACCATAAGCCAGAGCAGCAGCTGTAGGTTCATTTATTACCCGAAGCACGTTTAGTCCAGATATCTGGCCAGCATCTTTAGTGGCCTAAAAAAAAAGAAAAAAGCATTTTCCACCCTGTGTCCTAAATATCATCAATACAGTCTTGATATTTTCAGAATGTCAAATGAACTCACCTGTCTCTGGGAGTCATTGAAATAAGCTGGAACTGTGATCACAGCATTTTTTGCTGTATGCCCCAAGTAATTTTCTAGAAAAGAATCAAAAAATGAAATACATTCATGACATTCTGTCCTATGAAACAGGTAAAAGAATTACTAATGTAGGGGCACCTGGGTGGTTCAGTCGGCTGAGCGTCCAACTTCGGCTCAGGTCATGATCTCGC